ATCTCCTCGGTGCTTGTCGACAGCCAATGATTCTCCAGTGATCGAAGATTGATCAACCTGCACGAACGCATTCTCCGTAACGATGCGCCCATCAGCTGGAACGATGACGCCCTCCTCGACTTGCAGAATGTCGCCAGGCACCACGTCAGATGCTTCAATCTCAATCAAAGTGCCGTCGCGTAATACAGTAGCCTTGAGGGCCAGCGTCTTCTTCAGTTCTTCCACGATGGAGCCAGCCTGGTACTCTTGGATGAAGCCTACACTCGCGTTCAGGAGGAGCAAGCCGCAGATGACACCAAAGTCGACCCAGTCCTGGAGTCCTGCAGCGAGAATGGCAGCCGCTTCCATGACAAATTGGATTGGTCCGACAAAGAACATCAGAAATTTGACCCAGTTGTTCGTTGACTCCTCTGCATATGGTGAGCAAGTGCTGATGGTGAGAAAGAAGAATAAGTACCTTTCATTTTGTTTTCGCCGAATTTCTTCCGCCGTATGAGTACCTCTGCGGACGTCAAGCCAATGCGCGTGTCAGTCTGTAGAAGTTCTTCTGGGATGAGGCGTGCGCCGCCTGGTTGTTGCGCTTCTTCCTCTTCGTAGTCGGCGTTTTCGCCATCTTGTGACTCTAGATCTTCGATGAGCTGATCTATGTCCTCATCCTCTTCTTCATCGTCCAACTCAATGTCATCCATGTGAACGTTCTTTTCCTGGAAATGGTACTTGTCGTATGTTTGGCCATTTGATGGATATATGCCGTCGCGATCCGGCGACGTACCGGCTGGCGACTGCATTTAGTCAGCTCTGATTAGACAACTGGTAGGTCAAGCCTAGTAGTGTTGGGGCTCTATGACAACTTACCTCGGACATCTTGATGTAATGCTAGTCGCTAATAATGTCAAACACTGTATGTAGTTTGCTGTTTGTATGATACAAGCGGCCAAGAAATATTTGTCGGTTACGCGAAGCGACTAGCTATGTTGCGAGTGCATCTGCGTCGATGTTGAGTGAAGTGTGGGCCAATGCGCTTTCATCCGTGGAAAGGGCTCCTCTGAGGCATCGTTGCGCGGGAAAGACTTCAGAGCGCAGAAAAACAACCCTGAGCCTGAACACCACGCGGGGTGCGTTAACAAACACAGTCGCGATCGCGCAACGCGACGTTTGTCGTCGGAGGGGCCTGCAGGAACGACCGAGGTGGGTTGGAACGACTCTGACCGGAATGTTGTGAGAACCCCACGGGTTGATGAGGCCACAAGGACGCGCATGATCAGCCTAGCCTGTTTTGAAGTTAAAGGGTCACGTCGAGAACCAGCCGCCAAGATAAGGTGGCCAGCTTGCGGGATCGCTGGGATTGTGAGCTGCGGCGGCCTGCTCCAGGGCTTAAGATTATTAGCTCGGCCCTTGGGGTTTAGTGCATTTGGCATCGCAATCTGTTTGGTATGTAGTCTGCGTGTCTATATTGCGTTAGTATGAGCAAAAGACACCAGACCATAATTTCATCTTCTAGAAACCGCAACGTATACGACCCTCATCGTGTGACTTGTTTTCATGATGTTCTGCTCGAGGACTCGTGGTGGTGTATTGCGCGATAAACTTCCGTGAGTAGAATCCTAAGCCCGCGCCTAGCATGGCCATCCCATGTCACCAATTCAAATCGACCAAATATTGTCACGGATCATCTTCGACATGACGTAGCGCGTATTCCTGTCAGCTTACCGATGACACACGAGCCTCGCAAGACGATCTATTGCGACTCTTCTAAGAGGCTGGACATGGCAGAACGGAACACGAGGATTATATGGATGAGCTGTTCATCAAGACTAAGCTTGACAAGGGCGCTGCGACGCACAGGTCATCCTCAATCTGAGTGGCGCATAGTGAAGTTGAGTTCTTCAATCCGTTGACTCGACGCCATAAAGGGCTCCAAAAACTAGATACGATGAACTTCGTGAAATTGGGTCGGCGGCAGCGCCAAGTTTGACTCGACCCATATCGAGTCCTACGCATCCGTCAAGCATTTGCTTGCCGCAAATATTCTATCCCGAATTTCATGTCAGTGAAGGTCTGGCTAGAAGTGTAAGAAAGTCTTGCCACTACAGCAGCCCATCGCGATGTGTGTGTCTGTAAGACCCGGTTTACTGCTTCTGGCGGGATGTCCCTATCCCGTCTGCGTGGAGAGCTTGCACAACAGTCTCTTCCAGCAGGCAGATAAGTAGTATAGGACAGAAATTGAGTCTGCCCTCATGAGAGATTGACCGCGCGCTGAACTCGTAAGGCTGACGCGTAAGATCCCTGAGCAATTGCTGTGCTTTTGGGGAGATCTGAGCAAATATTTTGTAGGATTCCGGTAAACGCACCGTGGACCCAGTTGCCGTGACGTTTCTTTTTCTTCATCTGGAACAGTATTGCTGGTGCACGGTGCACCAACGTGGTTCCAAGGTCGCCTCCGTCCGCCTCAACGCTACCCATAGCGTGATCGGACCTTCTGAAGCCCTTCCGTCAACACAGCGACTTGAGTAGGGCTCGAAGGACTGTCACACTAGACGTCTCCCGCCGCACATCATTCGAGAAGCGTTCTTCTCATATACTTGTAACGCATACGTGCATTCCTAAACTCAATTTCCTCGCGGCCTCCTGAAGCAGATCGGCTTACCTCGCTCCCTCTCTCTGGATCGACCGTTCGCGCCTGATGCAACCCTACACTGCCTGCGGAATGCGCGTAGATAAGGGAAGAGAACGCGAAGTGTCGTCCACCTGAGCGTGGCCGAACCGCGGGATGCCAGCTCGTCTGCTACGCGCCGCTGGGACATAGTAGAGCTGCGCATAACACCGCTTCTGCTGAGTCTGCTAGGCTGTCCGTTCCACAGATACAGACGGAGAGGTCGATGATCGATGGATAGAGAGACGCGCTGGATTACTGGCTCAATATCGGCGTTGGCTCCTGGCTGACAAGAACTACCCATGTAGGAACGAGGGAGGTCGGTCGCGTCGATTTGGTGCAGACTCTGACAAGCAGCTCGACGTCTGGACAACCGGAGATTGTGCCCATGTTGCGCGTCCTCCAAGCCCTGCCGAGTATATCTCTTTACCACGAACGTTATCTAGCATTGCAGCCAAGACACCGAAGATGAATGGCAAGTTGGCTGAGGACGCGTCCGAAGTTTGGTGGGGTGAGGCCCGTGCGCGGCCCGAAGACACTTCCACTTCCACTTCAAACTTCGCCCGTCTCCACGAAGTTTGTATCTTCATCATCCCTACAACTCTCGCTTGGGGTATGACGCTGTCGGAATTCTCACGACCGAAAGCTCTTTCTGGAATTCTTTGCGGCCATCCACTTCGCTAGCACTTATCGCTGCCCCTCCATAGACCTGCTCTTGCTTTCTTGTTCGTTTGGTGTTGTGGAAAAGAGATCGGCTCGCAGCAGCATTTCCAGCGACGGCAATGGGTATCTTTCTACTCCTGCATACTTGAGGTGCTCGCCTGAGTCCTGGTATTATGGTAGGCTATCTGCCATCTTGAGAGGTATCCGTAAGACAAAAAGAGTTGGGATCCAGTGATTGCCAGGTAGGCGGCGGATATCGCACCATCTGTATCGACATACCAGGATACGACGACTGGACATGCAATATGATGGACCGACGGCGAAAGTGTGATACAGTCGGTTCGGGGTTGCCTCAGGTCCCATTGAGGCGTCATGCTCCCCCTTTTCCAAGCCCTTTGTCCGCAACCTGCATCGAGAGGACAAACATCGTCTCGTTGTGTTCGGTGCCCATGCTAGCTTCGTGGGCGCATCGGGTGTCGTCCAGCGTCTGGTATAGCTGTCGCGTGGGGAGGGTAGTTGGGTCTTCTGCCGGTCGATGAGCGTCGGAGGAGGCTGCCACTGCCGTCAGCACATCAGGTCTGGCGTCGTCGAGTGTCATTAAAAGGGCGCTCCACTGGAAGGCGTGGTAGTGCACCTAAGATCGCTATAGGAGGCATGTCCGTCGGCAAGCTGTAGTCTGGTCAGCACGACTGGTCGCTCTACCACGAGAAACAGGGTGATGCACTTATCAGAGGCGCCGTCGATGTCTCCTTCAGCCAATGCTCTGCTGTGGATGGTCAAGTCTCAGGGACCCTTGCTGTGAGGGATGTTCGCGCTCATTACAGCGAGGGAAAGGGTCGGCTGAAGCGTCGGTTCGTGTAGCTCCTCTGTCGGTCGCGTTCTAGCTTGCTCCTATTGCAGCTGGCTAAGATGTCTACCCAGGCTCGACTTGGAATACAGTGTGACCCAGCGAGCTTCATAAAAGTAGCAGGCCTGTCCGGTCAGCCTCGTCATTCCGTAGGCGGCGCTCCGGGAGTTAGCGTATCTTGACGCCCGAGCTTCAAGCCACTGCGTACAAACTCGCTCCCTCCCTTACCCCACCACGACGATACATCAGTCGCCGGCCACGATTTCCGGGCGGTTACTCAGTACATTGGCTCGTAAGTTACCCCTCGCTGCATAGCTCAGGATCGAAGAGCTATCAAGTTCGCGTGCAGCAACCGTTGACAGACGTTGTGAGCAGAAGCGATACAGAAACTTCACGAGAGTTCGCTACTACGCACAATCTTAGCAGACGTCTCATCGGTATTCAAGCATTCTGATAACGAAGCGGCTTCTACTGCGGCACTGCAACGCCAACACACGAGTCCGACAGACCTCACCGTGAGTAGTCTGCATTCCTGGCCGCCTGCTAAACTGTTATTGACGTCTCGCACAGTTACGTTGCTACGCTTGCTACGCAGAAGTCCTCCAGCTTCGTCGTGTACAGCCATACGGTCAATCAAGACGAGCGACCACGAGCAAGTCCGCAGTCACCATCTACCACCCCGGAGAGCAACCGAACCAGAAACGCCCAAGATCATGGCCAGCGTGTGAGCGACAATGCTAAGGTTGTTCTAAGTTAATACTGACATCTCAAAGGCAAGCGTTTGGACCTCGTCCCCATACACATTACGATAACAAGGTGAAGCCTTGCCTGAGCGCCATGCCCGTCGAGCTCCAACGTAACACTCTGGATTATGTCACCGACACCCCTTCGGCTCTGGTCAATATGTGCCATGCCTCGAACGTCCTTTCGCATGTCGCGAACGAGTTTCTGCAGGCGGGTAGATGTCTCGAAACAAGTGGCGAAGCGAATCGCACCGCGTTCGACTTGGCTGAGTACCTGTTCGCCTCTGGAGGTGTCATCCGGCAACAACCCATTTACGGCTCAGACACAAAAGATAACACAACTGATCGTGTCATGATCATGGCTTCAGTGTTCACTACTCTCATCATCACTCGACGCTCGCCCTATCTCCGCCCGACCGAGCTTCACCCACTCGATGATGGCGCCATGGCGAAATACAAGAAAACCATAAACTCCTTCCGGGTTTTGTCATCGCACGCGAAACAGGAATGGTGTGAAGCGCTTTCGCGTGGCGAGGACCGAGCTATCCTCCTCCTCTTGTTCTCAGTCTTTCGCCGCCTGGATAACCTTGTCCTGCGCGGCAGCACACACTGTCTGCCTTTAAGGAGGTCTCTTCAACCCACGGCTGATTTCTCCGCAATCCGCGTTCTGGAATTATCCGACATCACCGACAAGGCGCTTTCTGACAGCTGTCGCTATATCATGACACTCTCAAGTTTGGATGAGCTGACATTCTCTGACATGAGTCTGACGCAGCCCAAGATCCGAAATCTGAGGGTAGACACGCTACACATCGACACCCTTCGCTTCCTACGTTGTTATGCAACGCCTGCAGCTGTCGCATGTATGGTTACAGCCTGTAGGTACCTCGAAACCTTCGAGTATACGGTCAGCGGTGTGCAGTACTACAAGTCTCACGATACTTACATCGGGAACAAAGATCTGCCGATGGTCGATCAACTGGGCCACAATGATCTTGTGCTGAAGAAAATAACGATCAGCTCCATGGACTTTGTTCCCAAGCTTGGCTTCTTGCGCATGAGCCCACTGCCTAGGTACTGGGTGCTGGAGTATCTGGACGTTGAGACGCGTTACTTGTTGTCTGATAAGGTGAACGCAATGCCTCAGGATCGGATCGATCATTCAATCGTGATCAATACGATGAGCAACTTGCTCCAGACGCTCATTCTACGCGATTGCAGCTGGGACAAGATGTTGCTGGTAATGAAACTGTTTGTGAGAGCGAAAACCATTGGAGGGAGGTGTCCTGACTTCACAACACTCTTCGTTAGCTACAGGAGGCCCATGACCGAGAATTCTTCGGCCCTCGCAAAGTTGCGAAAGCTTGCCTCAGCTTGTGAGGCTGCTGGTATCAACGTTGTCACCAAGGCCAAGGAAACAGGTTGGCTGAAGAAGTCCCGTAAGGGTCCCGCTCGTAGGTGATACTGTAACTGGAGTTTACGTCGCGACTCTATCCTTCTGCGAGTGTCACAAAATTCTGCCTGATCCTGGTAAGAGGTAGCTAGTAATTTTGAAAAGGCTTTCATGAACACGACAAGCTCATGGCAATAACAGACGCTGGTCTCAGTCCATACTGTCGACTACACAGCCAACTACACAGGTCGCGAATGTACAATAACCTAATACATTTTCTTCAATAGCCTTGATTGACAATTCCTTCTGTCTTTCGATTCATCAATGTTGTCCCCAGGTACTAGATCGATGTTGCAACAAGCGACATGAGTGTTGTGCTTCGACGTTTCGGCGTGCAGTGCTTTTTGTAGATGAAGGCGAAGTTGGAAACTGAGAAGCATCATGCACCTTTTTATGACGTAACCGGAAAGCACAATTGAAGAACGCGCGAATGTGCTTTGTGATAAATGCCCTTGCTTGGAAGGAGAGAACAACCGAGAGTAGTGCTCGTATATGTCAATTGGTGTTGCACGAGGCGCGGCATCGGAGCTTCTCAGCTGGCCAGAGTTGAGGTTTCCTTCATGCGCGCCAGCACACGTCCTCCGGACCGAATGAAGAGAGTGCGCCTTTGACTCAGGCTGTGGTCTAGTCCTGCTCCGAACTCTTCGACTCGTACCTTCCCATCATCTCCCAACACGCACCACAATGCGCAATACGCTTTCGCGCATACATGCAAACATCGTCCGCATCACGACCTCCGCACACTTCGATCGATCTGGGCGCACGTAGTATGCGCTGAAAAGCAAGGCTACCGTAACGCTGGTGCTTGAACTAGCACTAATCCGGTCCGCACCACACCCTTTTGGGCGCTACCCCTTCGCTAACGCCATTTGGCCAGCTGAACCATAACCAATTCCAGCATCACAACGAATAGCTAGGCGAAGCATGGTGTACTCGCGTGAACGCCCTCGGTAGCCCCGTAGGCGCCTGTGGGCTGATAACAAGCCTTCATCTGCGATGGCTGAGGAATCACAGCGCGAGGGCCACGTACTGAATTCCATAGGGCTGGCGTAAGGCTTGAATGAACGGTACTCTAGAAAGTATTTGGTTGGTACTACTGACTTTTGCATCGCGATAGCGCAGTGATGCAGATGTTGGTATGTGATAGGAATCTTGTGGCGTTGCTAAAGGATGCATTCACTGAACTGAGGCCTTCATGTGGCTTGCTGTATCCATCTTTCACAACATCAGTGCGGTAAGAAGCCCTCTGAGTATTGTTTCGTGCGGTTGATCCATATATCATGCACCCGTTCCTTTTCTTGAGACACGGCTCGCTACCCGACTACCTTTCAGACTCTGCGTTGGGAGTTGCATACGTTCATAGCAGGCCATCTGCTCTTCGCTCGTTACTTTCATAAACTCCACTCTCGTTCCAAACATCATGAAGCTATTCACCTACGAAACCTGGGGGGTGCCCAGGGCCGGCTTCGATCCTTCATACAACTTCGTCCGTTCGCACTTCGTCTCACCCGTCGTCCTCGCATGCGTCCGTGGCTTGCTGAGCATATACTGCTTCACGACCATCATAACATGCTATACCTGGCTGGCGAACGAGACGGCTACAATCAAACTCAAAGATGTGAACATAGGATCCTATACCATCCAACAAGGCAATGCAGCTATCGGGCAGTCGTTCTCATTCTTCACCTACCTCACCTTCTGGTCACTCGGTTTCTACTTCCTCGTCTCGAGCGTACACACATTCATGTATGCGTCCCGGCAACGAACATGGTTACACACGTGGCCAAAGTACTTGCAGCTCTTGCATAGCATGTACTACTCCACCATGACCTCATTTCCGTTCTTGGTCACGATCGTCTTTTGGGGTACCATGAACTCTGGGTGGCCAGCTGGACGATTCGAACAGTGGATCAACATCTCCGTTCACGGTCTCAACAGCGTCTTTGCTGTGACTGAGATCATGCTATCAGCAACCGAGCCACAGCCGTGGCATCATCTGTCGGTTGTCCTTGGAGTCTTGTCTATTTACCTTGGGCTCTCGTACCTCACGCGGTATACTCAGGGCTTCTACGTGTATGAGTGGATGAACCCGGCACACGGCAACGCCAGCATCGTTCTGCATGTCTTGGGTTATGCAGGCGGAATGATTGCGCTGTTCGTGCTCGCACGGTACGCAATTATGGCCAGAAATATGCTAGCGCGACGACTGCAGGGGTCTGAAGAAATGGAGTATGGCGAGAAAGGCATCCAGCTTGAAGATGATCGGTCCGATACTTGGTCGGCGAAGGTCGGGGTGGTCAAGCCGACGCCCATGCGCGTGCAGAAGAAGCCAGAGATAGTCGTTTCCGAAGTCTAGGAGGTAGTGCCGAATTAGCGTCAGGGTTTATGTTAGACATGGATTCAGTCATGATATTGCGCAATGCCATCCTTCGGATATGAATCAGCTTCCCTTTTAGGCTATGGAGCAAGGCCTTTGTGATCTGACATGTGCACCGTCAACTGAAAGCCTACTCCGGTCCCGCTGATCCATTGTACACACTTCCACTTCTGCATAGGTTGATCCCTGCCGGTCACAGCCTCAATGCAAAAGTATTCAGAGGCCAGGCGGAAGGCGGCTGTCCATGCGAGTTTCAGTGTTGGCTTGGAGGCCTAAGGCCGGGCAGTGAGGGGCTGGATGAGAGTGAACTCTCCAACGATCAACAAAACAATCCACAGTTCTCGATGTCATACCAAGACTGAAGCAATCGAACCCACGGGTGTCGCGGCTACGTGAATGTGCATTGTCGGTGTAGTGGTCTTGTGTACTGTCAGATGCGCAGTTGCCTCCTGTTTAAGAGACTCCCTGGCATCGATACGCGCAATTGATCACGTTGATAAGTGCTGTGCGATCTCTTCGGGGTTGCGAGTCCTGTACCGTCTGTCAAGCTTTGTCGCAGTACGTGCGAAAGACGTGTTCACCGCTCCCTTCTTGACCCACCATGTGACGAACCCGAGTTATAATGGGCACTGAATCTCGTCGACGGTCGCAAGAGTACTCCATATACACATCACGACTGGGCTAATCGGAAAAAGGCATTAGACACAATGCAGTGCCTGTAATTCAGACTTGGAGTAATTTCTGTGGGGTTTGACGCAGGTCTTTCATGAAAGTGGCTGATTCGATAAGGCCAGCGTCGTGACGCCATAGCTCGACATCGCCAACTGTCTTACATCGCGAGAGACGATGTCAAGGCGGCAGATGATGAAGACGAAGTCTGCCTTGTTGATAAGCGTCACGCCCAAGGTCCGTGACTAAAGAGATGTCTTTAGATCGATGATGAAAGCCTTCGGTACCGCTCTCCAGCGCCTTATGGTCCAGTGCTAAGAAAAAAGGGCAGTAGTAATGTTTCCTTATTGTTCCGCAGCTGAAAGCATCACGAGACAATGGAATGCCGAGCTAATCTATGTCATCGCCCGTTCGCACTGATGCGCATCAGCACCTGTGCGTTCATGTGGCTCAGCCCAGACGGGCTCTGACAAAATAGGTAGGGCCAGAAACGGATTGACAAGACGCACAAGAAACAAGTATTCCGAGTATTCTTGTTGTTGCCGCTGAGAAGGTGTGGTGATATCTGGACGCGACAGTGATGGTTGAGGATGCACGCGGACAGGGGACCGCTGCCATGGATGTGTTGCAGCCTCGGCTACGAAGTACTTGCCACGTTGGTGCTTAGCGCGCCCTCTATCTAAAATTAGGAGATAGGGGAGGCAGTGCTGGCGTACTCTCTTTCATCTCAATGGTCCTTGGTGATCGCGTCTTCCGTTACCCATTGCCACCTGCCCGACTCGTTGCATACTCAGAGTAGGATTGTTGCCGCTGGGCGCGTTCCCTCAGCGCCCTCCTTGTTGTTGCGCTGAATGCAGACCTCGGGAGGCGAGCGGCTGGCTGCACAAAGGTCGAGTGACCACGTACCGCCTTGAGCCTCACCGCTTACTGTTCGGTAATATCATGTCAGTAATGCGTAGGGCGTTGGAAGGGTTTCTCAGGTGCCGGACCCGTATCGAAGACGGCGAGCCTTGTTGAAGCTTGGGCGTTTGGCCTGAAAAGTTAGGCCAGCAATGCGTCTCAAAATCCTTTCAGATGAACCCAGATATGGAGTCCTCTAATTTCACATCCATTTCCGTCAGATCTGAGCTTCAATTGGAGATTCTCTGTCTTGGCCCCGTTGGTATGACTTGAACATGCACCGTTTAAGCAATCTGCACGTCCTTCTGTAAGGATTGTCCCTTCCGACATCTACACATGGCAATTTACCAGCTCACGCCTTACCCCTGCGCCCGACGACCACCGCCACCCCTCTGCTACGCCGCACTAAGGTTGCCAACCATATGTATCGCACCTGTTCCACTGGCAATACCACGCACCCGGGATTTCGGAAGCATAGAACAGTTGGAGCTATCGGATCTGCGAATCGGCTATTAGCATCGTTTAAACTCGCTCGAATACTACAGTGGTGCAGTAGCGCAACGCCCTCAAGCCGCACCTCACCTCCACATTCAACACCAAGCTCTTAGGCCTGGTCTGCGCATCCCTGCGTTCAGCCTTGGACATATCTGCATACGGTGCAGCTCTCTTTAGGATGCTACCCGGCGCCCAGCTGCTGACGATCCCGACCGCATCGTCGAACTATAAGCTTGACGACATCTCGTCTACAAGCAAGCTAGTTCTATCCTCCAATCGACTTATTCTCCACCTCCAGGGCGGCTCGACGCACAACGAAGACGAGGAATACATGGCACAACATAATCACCGTTCCAGCCGCTTGCAGACTGAGAATGAGCTGTGGCTAAATATGCCTGCCTCTTCTGCACAACAACAGGAGCATGGCCATCGATTAGAGCCATCCGCCTACAAAGCAACCTCGCAGCGGATCAGTGTATGTCCTACGAGCGGCTCGAACCTTAACAAGCCACTACCACCATCGCCATCCGGTCCAGAGAAACGATCTCACAAGCCAACCTTGTTGCGA